CTGGGTGTCCCTGCTCAGACTGTTGCCCCCGCAACCCGGCCCCGGATAAGCGGTTGAAGATGGATGGATGGATGGATGGAAGTTCAATTCTCCTGTTACTCCTTGTGGGGCAATCCACCACCTGATGAAAGTCAGCCAGTAGAGTCCAGAATGACATAATTAAAGTCACTAGAAATCAGAATCAGAGTCTCAGGGAGTTGTGTCAGCTGTGATGGTGTGAATTTTTTCACAGGCACTGGCTGCGACAAATCGCGGAGGGATGTAAACACAGAGGGAGAATATGTGACTAAACTCCTTCGGCAGATAGTATGGCCGGAGGCTAACGGCTAATAGCTCAAAGTCCGGGCAACATAAAAATGGCATTAAATATATCTTGAACAGAGACTAACATTATTGCTATCCTACCACTCCCTATTATGTGAGCCCAAAACAGCCTTTATAAATACAAAGAATCTAAATCGAAACACAATCTTTACTTTTAAGAGGATGTGTTAATGATGGAGGTTAGCAGAGACATTTTATGAGTTTTCCCCAGAGCTGTGTTGTACAGAAAGAGTCTGGAGCACACAAACTGCACGGTGGAAGACATACACCCACACACCCACACACAAACATTGTTAATGGAACCATTAAGGAACGTTTGTGCAGTACTAAACCATGAAGTAATACTTGTGGGATTTAGTCAGTAAAGACTGCTATATAGAAGCCTGCTGCAATTACAGCAGAAAACAACTACACATTACCAAGTGGATTGGATCCATTACTGGATGGAAAAGTAGGGGGAACTGTTATTATTAGCTTATTATTTGCTTGGTAAGATATATAAATTAAATTAAATTTAAAGCGATTTGTTACATGTTTTAATTACAATTACAATTATTTCATTTATTTCATTTTAATTACACTGAATTGTAGAGGCACATATTGGGTGAAACTGGTTTTATTAACCAACAAGCATGTAGCACATGACTCCGAGTACAGTCACTATGAATAATTCTTGGGTGATTATGTTGCATTGCACTTGTATTGATATTTTGAGCACTACTCAAGGCTAAAGGTACAGTCACATAACTCATTCCTGTTGAATAATAATTAGGGTTTGAAAAACAGAAAATATATTTTTTAAATAAACTGCTGGACAATGCAGTTTGTAATTATGAAGTGGTTATGGTGCATTGAACTTGTATGAATATCTTAAAAAAGGTCTGGAGATCAAAGATCTTGTTCCAGTGTTGGTGCACTGTATAGGTGAATATTAATAATGTTTTACCTCAGCGTCTTGACACTGGAGGCTGTAGGTTCTCTGAAGAGCTTGCATTGTTGCTCCACTTAGGTCTGATTTCTCCAGTAGAAGCTCCAACAGCATCACCAGCTGTTCCGACGTGAACTGAGGAGACAAAACCGTTTATTAATTTGCTGACCAACACAGATAAACTGTGCTGAGAAAGGTTTCTTAATGTCATGAAAATATCTGCAACTTACAAAATTGTACAGCAACTTATGTATACACTAAACATTGTGCTCCAACTTATACAATCATTATTTTTCACAAAAACCTTATTTTACACATTATCTTCTTTGTACTGGGGGAGGTTTGATGAAAAAAAACTAAAGACAATAATTACTATAGAATTTTCCAACACTGGGGAAAATGTAGCAGAATAAAAAGCAGAAGAGCTGGGTAAATAATACACAAGTGTAAAATATTACAGTAGAAACAAAATAAAACAGAGAAAGGGAAAAAAGTGACTCAGACCGAGGACAACGTGAGAAAGAGAAAGAGACAGCATGTATTTATTGTTTTGTTCTTTTGGATAAAAAATGAATGGCGTTGTTCAGGAACATACTGCCAAAAAGACATCTCTCCTAGAACAACTGCTCCTTGAAGGTATCTATACTGCAGGTAAAACACTTAATGAGTTTGAAAAAAAAAATTCAAGAAGAAGGAGGAGCTTGAGAAGTGTTAATAGCACACAAGCTGTTACAGTGAGAGAAACAGACAAACAGACAAACAGACTGTTTCCTTGTGATGACTCTCATCATTAGGGAGAATGAAAACCTGGGACAGGACTGTTCTGAGTTTGGATGCAGACAGCAGTATGAAAGATTGACTTCCTCCATCGGGGAAAGCCGGGCCCAGCCTGGTACAATACATACAACCAACTACACTCTCCCAGCCTGTGCCTGCTTGGTGTACAATTAATGACTGAAAGCCCTGTGGCGACAAATGTGAAAATAGTTGTAATTGTGTGACACAGTTAAGGGAACTGAATGGAGTTGATAGTTTACGAAGTTCTATTTAGGTAAATGCATCCAGGGAGAGTAAGAAAAAGCTGACTGTAATTTCTGTACCTCTTTAGTGCTGTTGAGAAATGCCAGACCTGAAACTGGGCAACTGGGTTTCAGTGTGTAGCTGCTGGAGCTGAGGGAATAACATCTAGACATTAGTTGGCAAATGCTCAAATCAAACACTGCTGACACTGCACATAAGACAGAGACACACACACACACACACACACACACTAAATTCATTATGAAAATCCAAAGAAAAGTATGATATTCTGTCTTTTCTCTTCACCTCTAATGAATATCCTCCCATTAAACCATAAGACAGTATGTCTATGAAGATTCTCAGTCATCCAGGTCATGGTCAAGTTGAAGAGTTCCGTTAGGCAACTGGATGTGAATTTTCTAAAAGAAGATGTTTCACCTCTCATCTAAGAGGCTTCTTCAGTTCTAACTGGTGGTGGGGAGTACAGCAAATATATACTTTAGGTGTGAAAGAATAAAGCTACTCCAGCTCCCCCGTGTTGGGTGGGGCATTGGGGTCAACTCGGAAAGTGTAAACAGTCGTTAAGAGTCTGATAGATCGTTGTGGTCCTCATCAGAAAGGTTTCGGTCACCTGCCTCTTTGTTATGTGAAACTGAGGAGAATCTTTTGGGTATTGTTCCTGTATTTTCTAAGTGGGTGATAGGTTGTTTCTAAGTGAAAATTGTTGTCCTCAAAGAAGTGTGTTTTGTCTTTGAGGTGTATGTGAACAGCTGAGTACTGTCCTGTGTTGGGCCTTGCGCCTGTGTAGCAGTTGTTTGGTCTCCCTAATGTACAGGTCCGTACACTCCTCACTGCACTTAACGGCATTAACCACATTGTCCAGCTTGTTTCTTGGAGTCTTGTCTTTGGGATGAACCAGTTTTTGTCTTAGGGTGATTGAAGTGTACATGGATCTGGTGTTGGTTAAAGATCCTCCTAAGTTTTTCTGAAACTCCTGAAATGTATGAAATGACGACATTCCCCCTCCTCCTGTTGTCCTCCCTCTTTGTGGGCCTCTTTTTGTTAGTTTTTAAAAAAAAGCACATCTAGGATAGCTACAGGCCTTGAGAGCTGTCCTAATGTGTCCCTGTTCTCTCGTTTTACCTCTGTTGGTGGTGAGAATGGTGTCTGCCCGTGACTGTAGGGTTCTGATGACTCCTAATTTGTGTCCCAGTGGGTGGTGTGAGCTGGTTTCCTGTACACCTGTATGTTGAGATGCCTGTCCTCCGTGATGTGAACCACACAGTCCAGGAAAGCAAAGCTGTTGTTTTTCACATCTTCTCTGGTGAACTTGATGTTCCTGTCCACCGCGTTGATGTGGTCTGTGAAGTTGACCTCACTTACCTTAATTTTGACTGAAGTGTCGTCCACATATTGGAACCAGTGGCTGGGTGATGTGTCCACGTAGAAGTGTAGAGCTCGGCTCTCCACTTCTTCCATGTAAAGATTCACCACTATGGGAGACACAGGAGAGCCCATAGCACAGCCATGCTTCTGTCTATAGAAAGACTTGTTATACTAGAAGTAAGTGGTGGTGAGGCAGAAATCTAGAAGGGCACAAATGTGGCCAATGGTCAGGTAAGTTCTTACCGGCAGGGTGTGATCTTGAAGTAAGCGCATCCTCACTGTTGCTACTGCTTCTGTGGTGGGGATGCATGTAAAAAGTGATGTGACGTGTAGAAGACCATGGTCTGTACACTGACACACAGTCCCAGGTAGCGACAGGATCATGGCTAACTCTAACAATAGCGTCTAATAGTACAGTGCTGACCGCACATTACCATTGAAGAGTGAAACATATTCTTCTCTATCTCAAAAGTTAAGTGAGACGACTACACACACACACACACACACACAGGCATACACCCACACACACAATTCTGTCACACACATGAAAGAAGCAGTTCATTCCCGTAGTGCCTACTACTACCTAAGGAATGCTAATGGGGGAAAAAACAGAACTTGTTGTGTGTCTGTCTTTGTGTCTCCCTCCAAATCTCTCTGTACAGTATATATATATGGCTAAATATACACCTTATATAATATGTAGACTCTGTTACAAACATCATATCCTGTGCTTTATCTCACTTATTACAGACATTTCCCTATAGAGCTGTCACTCACTATGGCAAACTATGTGTATTTATGTGTGACTTTCTCTTCAGGTTTGAGCTTATGAAAATACAGGCTAGTGGTCTACCTGCTGGGCATTGCTGCCTGATGCACCTCCACCAGTGCCTTTGTGCTGGCGTGCTCATCTGAACACCTCCCTGGGCCCCACTAGTGCCTGAGTGTCACCAGTGGTGCCAACTTACCTCAAGGGTGAGTTCTTTGGTATGATCAAGGGGTGGGGCTGTGGCAGGGGAATTATTGGGGGTCATCCTTATACTTACCTTCCGGGTATGGGAAAGAGCTGAGGTAAGGGATGGGGTGGGATGGGGTGTCTTACTGGACTATGGCTTTTCCTGATTAGTTGGTTGTTTTTAAATTGACCATCTTACAGTAAAACACATCTTCAGTAGTGGACAGTACTGGACTCTCTCACTAGGAAGGCCCCGCTGGGGTTGATCATGCCTCAGGATGTGTCTTGTTAATTAATTACTACTGGTTTGTAACTAGGTTCCTAACTTGATTGTAGCTAGATTCCTTACTTAGATTGATGGCCTATTTTTCCCGCTAGAGTTACCGGTTAATATTATTGAGTTATGCCTATTGTGGGTAAAATTACATTAAAGTGAATGGGTCATGCTTTGTTTGGCCCGCAACTCACCTCTTTCCGACTGAGCCACAGCCAAAAGCTGCCCTTCTCTGCCTCTTCTGCCGGTTCCCTAATGGCTTAACGCCCTGCTCCTGTGCATCCCATGTCATGGAGCAGGCGTACAGTTGAGGACCTGACGAAGCCACTGCATCCTACTTCAACGGGGCGCATGATGGTTTTCCAGCCAACCTCTCTGCATTCTGCTGCCAAGTCTGCGTACTTTGCATGTTTCCGCTCGTTGGCAGCCTCAATGCCTTCCTCCCATGGGACAGTAAGCTCCACCATCAGAATGGTCCTGCGTGGTTCTGACCACATGATCAGATCTGGCCGGAGCTAAGTTTCTGTGATCTCCCTGAGGAATTGGAGCTGCCTCCCCTGGTCGACCCTCATCGACCACTCACTGCCTGGTGAGAGTACCGTTGGTGTTACTCTCTGGCAAGGAATAGCCAGACTAGCCAGTGCTGCACTGGGCACAGGACTCTTCCGCACCAAACCACAGGTGGAGCTCAGTGACATACTGTATTTCCCAGTGGTCCTGGTGAAGCTCCACCTGACACAACACATTTACCAGTCTCCTGTTGCATTTAAATGTGTATGGTTGTTATGTACTAGTACAGTTTTATATTATATGTACATTAAAATATTGCTTAACATCAGTTAGTAAATGATCATCTTTCTTAGTATTATCTCCTGGAAATAATAACTCAGCCCCTCCTCCCCTTCTATACATGTGCAGTACTGTTTGAGTGCTAAGGTCTCATGGCTCTCACTAATAGTTAGTCATGCTACAGCTGCTATGTGTTTTAGTACACACAATCAATCAAAGCTATTAAAGACCTGTGTGTGCTCTTGGTATGGCTACACTAATGTGGACATTCGTTTGGGCACAGACTGTTGTTGTGGGGACACTTGTACTTGTGGAGACATTTTCCAGGTTTTCAAGTAATAATGTATTTTTTGATATTCAAGATTTGGTTTAGAATTAGAATTTGTCAGGGTTGTCAGGCTTTGGACCCAAACACATGGGGGACAAAAAGTTCTTTTAAAAGTTTACTGAAGATTCAGCAAGTATAAACACACATGTCTTGGTAGTGCAGAGTCTTTCAACAAAAGGTGTCTCCACATGAAATAAAAGAAGTCTTTTAAATAAACGTGGAGAACAAATACACGTGTCTGGGTAACGAAGAGTCTTTCAACAAAAGGTGACTTCAACACTTGACTGAACTCTTTACTGCTGATTTACAAAACACAAAACAACATGGATGACAGGGAAAGCCACTAACAGGTGGGAAAAAGGAATTAAAGAAAACAAAGTGCCTGACGGATAAAAGTCATCCATTGGATTAATCCACCATAGAATATTGTATCCAGAGAAGAATGACAGATCTTCTTTTGCCCGCTCTCGGTGCAATTAAAGCGACTACAGTCGTGCTCCAAATGCTATCTTTTTATCTGCCTCACCCAGGCCTCACATCTGTGCTCCACTGCTTGTTCAGCCATACTGTATTATGAAAGCTGGAGACCTTGAATAAGGGTGACTTTATAAAACTAAACTGTGATTTCTGGGAGACTATTGAACCATGTGTGTGTGACACCATTCAATGGCTTGGCTGCCTTTTACAGTATTTCCGTCTGATCACAGGCTTGTAAAAACACACTGGCACCAGTAGCTTAAGGCCTCGGCCCACGTACTAAGGTTTCACTCGTTCTTTCCCCCCCAGAATCCCTCCTTCTCTTTATCCATTTGCCTCTGTCTACACACCAACTTCTTTTATTACTCTACCTTTCACTGGTCCAAACTATGTGTCTCTCTCACCCCTGCTTACGTTATCCACTTTTGTAACCCTCTGTATTTTACACTTGATTTAAGGAACTAAACATTGGTGTGCCAAAAGAGCATGAAGAGGAACAGCACATAAGGCAGCTGCTGAGATCCTCTCTCAACAGCCATGGCAGCATAAATAGGATAACAAATATGTGCACATTTAATTAGCCTGTAACTGCACAATACAGCTGCAGAGGAGTGAAATGTGCTGCATAAATGGGGACAGATGGTCAGGAAATTAAATGCTGTGAAGAGACAAGAGAGAAATAATTGACAATGTAAAGAAACTATGGGAAGCCTGGGAGCACTGAAACTTGGCAGGTGATTACTCCTTTCCTTAAAAACAAATCCCTCTTCACCACTCTTCTTACATCATAAAAATATTAAATAATAACCCCGACGATCAAACAAAATGAAAGTTAAAGAAATACTGTTTAATTCAATACCCCCCCCCCCAAAAAAAAAGCTGCATGACAGTGTGTGGGAGAATTTTGTAAGAGGTCCAGTAGCATCAAAAGAATAACTAAAGAGGAAAATAAATCATCTGATTATGATGGGTGACTGAAAGAATATTAACTTAAACTCATCAGGGATATGTTAAGGCAGTCCTTTTCAAATAGTGAGGCGCCTGTAGTGTGTGTTTTAGTGGAGGAGACAACAGACTTGGGCACAAACTGTACGTGTACTTGAACACCATCTTCAACTCACACATTGGAGTTCACGCTGTAAGAAAAAGCCTCCTGCCTCACTATGATCGCTCTTCTGCAACAAGAAAAGTGTCCATTAGAGACCTATCTCTATTTCTCCATCCTATCATATCCTCTGTCCTAGGAATTAACAGTGTCTAATCTTTCATTTAATCTTTCATTTTATCTATTTTTTCATTCATTTTAATCTTTCATTTTGGAAAATGCTTTTATTAGAGACGTGACGAAGGATGAGTGTGGATATTCTTTTGATTATGTGTCTGCTGCAATTAGACAAAGTCATCATAATTGTCATCATCATTATCATCATCATCAACAGTAATCAAAAAATGTGGCGAGCTTCTGAACATGCCACACACATAAAGGCAAAAAACACAGATTTCGGAGTTTTGGCCTTGAAATGAGGACAGTCTGGAATGAATTGTCTCCTTGACGTCTTTGCTACCAGTGTAAACATGTGAATTGGCAACAGTTAAAAAAGGTGCCACAATTGTTCACTAATGTATGAATATGAATAAAAACAATTATTCACAGCATGTACTACTCAGTGCCAATCAAATGAGCCCTTTGGCAAACAAACAACAACACTGTGCATCAGTTCTGCTGTGTTAGTCAAACCGGCTGCATAGTAAACCTCCACCCGGCTATACCTGTCTGAATATATTATCACCTGATATATAAAACCCCTACACAAAAGATTACTACAGTTTGGTTTTAAAGGCATAGTGTACATCAAATCTATTGCGAAAAGTCCTTTGTCCAAAACGCCAACAACATTCTCATTCGACATTCATGGAACTACTTTCTTAGTACCGTATTTTTCGGTTTATAAGGCGCACTTAAAATACTTTAATTTACTCAAAAATTGACAGTGTGCCTTATAATCTGATACGCCTTATGTATTACTTCTGGTTGTGCTTATTGACCTCAAACCGATTATATAAAGCCGAACCATACAGCGCATCACACATAATGGCACACAACTGAAGCACACTGGGAGCCAACAATGACATTTAACTCTGTTATCACAATTAGAAGATAAGAAGACAGCAATTGTTACAGTATGGTTGTGTAACCCAAATCCATGCAATATCACCTCGTGCCTCCCAACACCCGGAGACTCTGTGTTGTGTTTTTGTATTGTCAGTGCATAGTGCAATGCAGAAGGACGACTCAGATGCATGGCTGTCGATTTTTTCATGAAGGCGAGAATCATCACTGAACAACTAATTAACAGTAACAAGACTGACTTGGATAATGACGAGAGGGATGCAGGTATGATGAAGGTCTACGTGGTTTAATGATGTCATAGCCTCAAGTGGCCAGAAATAAACTGGTGGCCTCCAGAGATTTCTTTAAGCCGGGCTAATAATTATATTTAGATTGTTTGTTTAAGGGAGATTAATATAGATGGGACTAAAAAAAAGTAATCTTAGATGATTGTTTACTTTTTTAATAGTAGAATCACCTTATAAACAACTATAATAACAGCGTGAGACACGAAGCATGCATCTTTATTTTTTCATCATTATTTTGTCTCTATAACATTTTTCTGTTTATTACCTAAAATATCATGTTCCAGAAATTCAGCATCAATCAGAGAAGCAATTAACATGTTTTCTCTCCTGCTTATTACATCACTGACTCATTCACAGATTCAGACACCTCCAAAACAGGTTAAGGTTAATTAATCTCTGGCACTAGCTGTTTCGACCTAAACCACATATCTGTCTCCAGTGAATTCCTCTCTCCTCTTCCTTCTAACCGTTCCTTCTCCTCTCATTATCTATTGTTTTCTGATGGAGCTGCATACAACTCGGCAAACATTTTAAGGACAGTTATTGGCTTCGTATGTATGTGCTGATGTTCGCTTGCCACTTTTAGAGGAAGGGTGTAAAGTCCCCAACACTTCTATCACGTGTCATAACCAACATCAGAAAGTTGAAACCAGAGGCTAAACTCGATTCTTTCAGTGGCTGCCGTAGCACAGCCAGGACAGCGTGGAAAGAGAGTCCACTTTGAAA